TATGTTCTTTTTTTTAAAAAAAAAAAATGTTTTTTGAGAGAGTTTTAAAAAGGAGATTTTAAAGAAAGGGTTTTTTTTTTGTTGCTTTGTTTGTTTGGTTTTTTTGTTTGTTTTGAGACAGGGGCTGACCTTGAACTCACCAGAGACCCTCTTGTCTCAGCCTTCCTAGCGCTGGGATCACAAGCATGTACTACCAGGCCAGGCTGAGAGAGAGTTTGAGGACTGAGACTGCCTAATGTCAAAAACAAGGTAATTCCTAGCTGGGTATTGTGGTGCACACCTGCAATCTCACCACTAGGGAGGCTGAGGCAGGAGGATTGCTGTGAGTTTGGGGCCAGCCTGAGCTACAAAGTGAATTGAATGCCAGCCTCAACTGTATAGTGAGACACTGTCTCAAAAAGATTTAAAAAAATCTTTTTAAATAAATTACCTTTTTTATTTTAGATGCAGTAAGATTATTACTCAAATTATTACTCATGTTGAAACCACTAGTACTTCCCTGGATATCACATGATATCCAAACACCATTGTAAAACTCCTAGTAAGCCTCAGGTAAATGAGAACACTGTGGGTTCAGACCATGTTGGTTTCGAGGCTTTAGAGACCCTTCCCACAGTGCCACTTATTGGAGACCCCTGTGGTGGGTTCCAATTTCCTGTGTAGGTTACAGTGGGGAAGGAAAGAAAGCAAGAGACAAAGTAAAGAAGTGTATAGCAGGGGTCTGGGACCACCAGTCACTCTCTAGGAGCAAAAGGCCAGGGGACACCCAGACCCTTGGTATTTATTCAATACATCTGAGTCAAGAGCAATGGGTGAAGGGCAGTGGGTGTTTTTCCTGGAACAGCATAGAGGCTGATAAAAGGGGCAAGTTTAACATTATAAAGAAAAGGAGCCAAGATCCATCCACACACCTAAGTGCTAATCTCACTAGCTGAGACTGGCCTACAGGTTGACAGAGAATGGAGAGCCTAGGACAGATACCAAGTCAACCTACAATTCGTGGTCCCCAACGGGTATACATCACTGTGATATGATGTCTTTAACTCTTTGGTTTTGTTTTGTTTTATGTATTTGGTACAGGGTCTCACTATGCAGCTCAGACTCCTAGTGATCCTCCTGTTTTCAGCCTCCCCAGCACTGGGATTACAGGTGTGTGCCACCACATCCAGTTTCAGTGTGTCCTGGGGCAGGGCATGTGGTGCCAGGGATTGAACCCTGGTCCCTGAGCTTACCTAAGCAGGTACTTCGTCTGCTGAGCTATCTAGCTGGCTCTTTTTAACTCTTTGGGAAAGGTACCTAGAAGTGGAATAGGTCAAATGAATGAAATTTCTATTTTTAGTTTTTTGAGGAATCTCCACACTGATTTCCATAGTGATTATAGGAGTTCACATTCCATAATGATTATAGAGTTTACAACAAGGTAGAGTCCCCCATCCCAAAGGCCTCCCCAAGGGCCTCACCAGCATTTATACTGTGATTTCTTTTCTTTTCTTTTCTTTTTTTTTTTTTTTCCTGTGCTTTCTTGATGATACCAGTAGCCATTCTTTCAGGTGTAAGACAGAATTTTAGTGCTGCTTTAATTTGCATTTCTTTGATGGTCAAAGATATTGACCATTTTAAAAATATATTTATTGGGGCTGGTGAGATGGCTCAGTGGTCTAAAGCACCTACTTACAACAAGCTAAGCTAAGCAAAAGGACAGCGACCGCGGTTCAATCCCCAGCACCACATGCCAGCCAGCCCGCCCCCTGGTGGGCTGAGCTGGCCACACACACACACACACACACACACACACACACACTAAATAAATTAAAAAAAAAAAACCCAGGTAAAAATATATTTATTGACCATTTGTACTTCTGAGGAGTGTCTATTTCACTTGCTCATTTTTTGATTAGGCCTTTCATTTTGGGGCCCTGCTATTTCCGTGCTGTTTGTCTGTTCTAGATATTAGTCCTCCGTCAGAGGAGTAGCTGGCAAGTCTTGTTTCCCAATACTGGAAGTTGTCTCTTCACTCTATTGTCTAGAAAGAATTTACTTTGGTACAGTGTCTTTACTTTTTAAAATTAAATCTGTGTTTTTTTAAAACTTGTTTTCTCAGAAATATCCTTAGAAACAAGGCCAGGCATGGTGGTGCATGCCTGTAGTCCCAGTATTCGGGAGGTTGAGGCTGGAGAATCACCGTAAGTTCAAGACCAGCCTAAGCTACATAGTGAACTCAAAACTATATAGGAAGACTCTGTTTAAAAAAAAAAAAAAAAAGGGGGGGTGAGAGAGAGAAATGTCCTTGTTGATAATGTGGTGAGTAAGCTGGAATAGGATATACTCAGAGCCTGGTATTGACTCAAACAGAGATTTTCCAAAAACAATAAATTTACTCAAGAGTAGCATTGTAATGGGAAGATGCACGCCACGTTAAACCTTATATTCAAGGAAGCTGAGGTAAGGATAAGGCCAAATGAGGATTATGTAAATTATTTTGACTTAGTAATCCTTATCTACCAGGATCAATAAAATGTGTAGCATCAGGGCTGGTGAGATGGCTCAGTGGTCTAAAGCACCTACTTAGAACAAGCTAAGCTAAGCAAAGCACAGGGACCGCGGTTCAATCCCCAGCACCACATGCCAGCCAGCCCCGCCCCCTGGTGGGCTGAGCTGGCCACACACACACACACACACACACACACACACATAAATAAATTAATTAATTAAAAAAAATGTGTAGCATCAGTCAAAGTTGTACGAGCCATTTTTGGATAGCTGGCCTCAGAGAAGTATTTCCTGTGTAAAGTTATGCTGTGCTTTGTGTAAGGCTGTGGCTCTAGCTGTAAGCTTCTTGTTATTAAGTATGAGGTTCCTTCCCTTATAATCGCCTAGGCTTCATTTTATTTTTGTTGAGTTTGACACAGTGACTTCATTTTGATTCTAACAAGTTTCACACTAGCAACAAACCCTTGTATGAAGTTTTTGAAAAGAAACATCACCTTTTTTTTTTTTTGAGACAGAGTCTCACTATGCAGTTCAGATTCACCTTAACTTCACTATGTAGCCTGTAGCCTGGGCTGGCCTTGAACTCACCATGATCCTGACTTTAGGAGTGTGCCAACATGCCTGGCTAGCATCACTATTTTTCATCTCAGTTTTCCTAGATACTGGGGTAAATCCTGGGGCCACAAAAAAGAAGACACACTCCTGCTCTTCCATAGACCAAAGCATGACAAACACAGAAGCAGACTACAGGATCAGGATGTTGCTCAGCGGTGGACACTTGCCTAGCACATATGGGGCTCTAGATTCAATCACCAATAACACACACACACACACACACACACACACGAAAACCAGCTTACCAGAAGTTAGTGGCACAATGAGAAAAAGGCAAAAAGGTCAGCTAATCACACAGTCTAGCCTGTAAGGAAGCAGGATATCTAAGAAGGCTTCCTGGGGGAGCTGAAGCTAGAGTGGCATTTATTTTTCCCACTTAAATAATTACAATATTAGAATTAGAAAATTCAATAAAGCGTCTAAAAATCACCTTATCATTAAAGCCACCCTTCTTATGTGCTTGTGGCACAATGAACAACAAATTGCTTGCTAAAATAACGTTTTCTTTCCTTACTACAATGTATTGAATCCAGGACATTTGCACTGAGCTATAATCCCCAGCCCTTTTTAAATTTTTTTTTGTTTTGAGACCAGGTCTTGGTAAATTGCCCAAGCTGGGCTTGAATTTGCGATATTCCTGCCTCAGCTACCAGGGTGCTGCAATTCCAGGGCTGCATCTCCAGGCCCTAGTGTACTAGCACCTACAGGAAGACCCTTCAGAATAAAAATCTGCATGTGGGAATTGGTTCTCTTTAAGACCTAGTCTCACAAAATGCCTAAATGAATCACTTCTGGAACACTGAAATTCACATTTGGCCCTTTTCTCCCTAATGCCAAAATAAATTATTTGGAAATTCTTGGAATAAACAACTGAATAAAATTGCCAAAAGGCCTAAATTGAAAAAATTGTTCAAATGGAAAGGGAATGGGAGGAAGGGAGGAAAAGAAAAAAGGAAACAAATGTAAACAAAGCTTTTGTAACTAGGGAAGGGAGAGGGGTTGAAGGGAAGGAAAGGGAATGGGGAAAAAGAATCAAGATATATTATGTACAGATACAAACTCCCTATGATGAATGTAATCATTATGTGTACCTAAAATGTACCAATAAACTTAATTTTTTAAAACAAGGTCTAAACCAGGTTCAGATATTTGAAATATTTTTCATCATCAAGCTACTTAATTTTTTCCTGCCTATATAGTTCTGGCCCACAGCAGAACTTTTGAAAATATTTTCCTTTAGAAATTACCAAGAATCATGGTCTCATAACTGTGACAGTAAGGTTCTAACTTAATTTCTGATACAGAGGAATTAACTTACTTTTTATGCAGCAGTTCTATAAAGTCATATGTATGTCAGCTGCAGACAGGATGTGGGCCCAGAACCTGAGGTCACTAAGGGATTAGATGAAACTCAGATGTGTCTTGTTTTACTTACAAGCAGTGGTAGCAACTACTTGTTTTGTTGTTGATAATTTGTTTTTCTCCTAAACTTTTGGACCATTTTCCATTGGAGAAGCCAAAAAATTGTGTTATCTCAAGAAAAAGTACATTTACCTTAAAAATCTAGCTTCCAAATTCACAGGATTCCTTTATCAGTGAGCTGGGTAGGAGACAAGCTCATGTGGCCCAGTGAAGGGCTAGCAGCCCATGAGAGCCTGAAGTGTACTTCCCTGAAGGTATAGGAACTTGGTTCATAAGCAGTCTCATCAGAACACACATAAAGCTTTCCTACCTAGTTTTCTTGGAACAGAGATTAAGTGGAAGCAATCTCACAAATTTCCAGTGAAGGATTTGGAAAACAGTGGTTGGGGGCTGCTGGCCCTTTAACAGATGAGGGCGGGGAAGAGTTGGATCTTGTTAAAGCTGAGAGCACCTAACGGACCCTGGCCCAGACTGTCATGGCTACCCTCAGCAGCAAGAACAGCAACGGTCAGGCGGTGGGTGTCAGCAACCAGGTCTCGCTGGGCAGATGGTGGCTGGTGGTGATCACATGAGAAGTGCTTCTCTTCCAGTGCCAGTCCTGTCCTTCATCTCTGTCCCATTGCAGAGCAGCTCCCTAGAGCTGGACGGGTATATTTAAGGGTGGATGTTTACCTGAGCTTTTCCCTGTCCCAGGTTTACCTTCTAGATGCTGACAGTACTTTCTCAGGGGAGGACATACAGGAAGACGACCAGTTCACCAAGATGAAGTGTCTTGAAGGTATAACCAAGAGGGCCAGAAAGTTAGGGATATGAGGCCCGCTGCTCTGCCTCAGCTTAAACTTGGGCACCCAGAATTAGTGGAAGTGATTCCAACCTCTCCTACTTGCTGGCCACATCACACTGGGTGACTTGAAGTCACATTACTAGACGTTCTTTTCCCTGCCTGTGCAGTAAAATTACAACAGCTTTGACAGCCTGGCATGACTTTCAGCAAAGAGATATGTGTGAAGTAACTGGTAACGCAGATGGTGGCTGGTGGTGTTAAATACTGGGTTAAATTGAATCAGAGCAGCTGGCACTTTTTCAATTAAAGAGGCAACAGGAAGGGTTGTATAGTAGAGGGGAACAGCTGGAGGAAAACCTGTGCGGCACTCACTCAATCATCAAAGAGTTGGTACAACAAGTGAAACTTAGCACCTGTTAGGTTGTTTGCTTTAGTGGGGGGATGGTTTGGGATACCGTGAGGTAGGGAGTCTGAGAACCCTTAGAATGGAGGTATTGGTCAAAGATGACTCTAGAAGCCGAGTGTGGTGGAGCAGGCCTGAAATCCCAGGACTTGGAGGCTGAGGCAGGAGGATAATTCTGAGTTCAAGACCAGCTTGGGCTACAAAGTAAGCTCAAGGCCTGCCTGACTGCATAGTGAGATGGCTCTACAAACAGAAATGTTACTGAGTAGCAGCTATTCCAGCTCAGACTCCTCACACTGAGTCCATTTGTTTCCCCCCAGGCTTACATTTACACCAAAGGCCAGGCAAGTTCTGTGGCGACTTGATGCCTAAGGAAGAGGAAGAGAAAGACCAGGTGGCAAAGGAGGATTTGGATCCTGATTTGGGGCCAGATCCAGATGAGGAAGAGAATGATCTTGGGCATCCATCTGTACTTGATGCCACCCATTACACCCAGGTGCCCTGGCAGGAGGTGGTCAAAGCATTGGCCCCAGGTGTCTGCAGCTTAGACTGTGGGGAAACATCCTTCTCCTCTCTTCTACCACTTTCTAAAGTTCTGAATTTAACATTTTCTGTTTCAGGCTTGAACCTGAATTAGGGATTCTCTCTCCCCTTTGTCTCCTAGTGCCATCATAGTTTCTGATTCGGTCTTCATCTTAAAAACAGGTGTAGCCTGGTGTGGTGGTACACATCTATAATCCCAGCACTCGCAAGGCTGAGGCAGGAGGACTACTAGCTGAAAGTTTGGGGCCAACTTGAGCTACATAGTGAGTTCCAGGCCAGCCTGAACTACACAGTGAGACCCTGTCTCAAAAGAACAACAGCAGCAGCAAATAGGCCTTAACCTAGCCATAAACCCCCTCTAAGTTGTGACTGTTAGGATGAGGCATGTTTACCTGAGTCCCTGTATTTCAGCAGTCCATCCTAATATTTGTTTCCTCAGTGTCCATAATGAATGGAGGGAGACAAGGACTATCATGTAGAAATAAAGTGACTCAGGCTTTTCTTCAATCTCAAGATGAGGAAAGTGGATTCTTGCTTTTGAGGGGAAAGCAAGATCATGGAGCAGATGTATGTTGAGTATGAAAAAAAGCAGATTACAATTACTGTCCCATTGAAATGGTTGGCATTGTGTCCCCTGCCATGTCCCTGTGGACACAAGTGAATGTAGAAGACACCACTGGGGCCCATCTGAGCCTGGGTTTTCCACTTTTCCAGAGAAGTCTATTCAGCTCTCCTGGAGTCAAGACACCTGGTGTGTTGGGGATGTCACCTGCCTCCTTGCACTTTCCGTGGCAGGTGAGTCTGCACCAGTGCTTCTCCTGTGGGAGGTGACTGGGTGGTGAAGAGGACCCCACCCCTGAGCATGCGGAATGTTCTTCATCACATTCACTCTATCCTCTCTGCCCTGGAGAGAAGCACCCTAAGTGAAGAGGGCAACGGGAGCTGCCCTACTATGTAGGGGAGCGTGGTATATAGCAGATTATATGCCCAGCCATGGGTGCAGATGAACTGCTCATAGTGGGGCAAAGATTAGAGCCTGTTCCCAGCCTATGCCAGAGTTCAGCAGATGAGCAGCTCTAAACTTAGGGTTGGAGAGAACACCTTCCCTCAATGGACTGCATAATGGGGACATGGAGGGCAGGATTCAGAGACCAGGAAATCCTGCAGAAAGAACTAGAACTGCTCCAAAGAGGACTTCAGAAGATTCAGAAAGGAGGGTGCTGCCTTGGTGGCTAAAGACAACACACATTCCCCTCACACTCAGGGACCTATGACCTGATTTCTCAGAGGTGACACCTCTGTTGAAAGAGCCAGGAACCACCATCTGATGCACTCACAGCTGGCTTGAAGGTTCCCCAACACACATAATGTAGGGGGCAAGTTCCTAAAAGGCACATGAGAGTGTAAAGGCAGTGTAGAAGCTGAGCTTGAGCAGATTCTGTCTGCAGATGTGACCCAACTTTGAATTCCTCCCGCCCCTGCACCATCTACCACCAATTTCTTTGCAGCCTACATTTCCCAGCACCAGCGCTCCACCTCAGCACTTCGAACTTCAACAGCCCCTGCTAGACCCAGCTCTCCTCTGCAACCCACTGACCTCGTGGCCTTCTAGGCTCAGGTACTGATTCAGGGGACCAGGGACTGTAGCAACAGGACAAGCTTAGCTCTGTCTAGAGGCCTCAGGAGGTGGTGGCTGAGAAAAGGTGAGGGCCGCTCCACAAGGTATCACAGAAAAATAGTTATAGAAATCTAATACAGCAATTTGCAGGACAGTATCTTCTCCCTCAATGATGAAGACATGGAGACATAAGGAAATTAAAAATGTGAAGTCAGCTAGCATGACAAAACTGACAGGCCGAAGTTTTCCTAATAGTGCAAGATTTTTTACAGCCACTTTGCAAGAAAATACATCTTGAGGATCAGGAGTTAGAATCGTGCTGTTTTCTGTTGTTTGGGGGTGGGGGTGGGGGTATAAACAAATAGGAAGCCCTTGGATATACCCACTGGAAATTACCGGGAAGGGGCAGGGGAGCAGAGAGCTTCCTTCCTCCCAGCTCAGGATTCTTTTTCAGTCACCTGACCCAGCTGCACCCACAGCACCGAAGGATCTTGCAGAAGCAGCAGCAGCAGCAACAACAACAACAACAAACACCAAGGTAAAGCCACTGTGGCCAGCAGGCTTCAGGAGAACCTGTCTGCAGGCTGGGTATTCCCTAGAGACCACACATCTGCCCCCAGCCCCTGCACAGGTAGCACAATCTGGACTTGTCAGCCACCACTGCACTGTCCCATCACTGCCAGAGCACTCTACTGCCTGCTCACCACTCCTTGGGAATTTCACCACAGGCAGGGTGGTTAGGCTTAAAGGGATGTTCCTCCTGGCTTGAAGTCCCCTAGCCAAGAAGACTTGGTTTCAGCAGCTAGACCCCTATGCGAACCTCATGACCCGAAAAGAGAAGGATTGGGTGATAAAAGTGCAGATGGTTCAGCTGCAGAGCGAGAACCCCCATCTCAATGACTATTACTACCAGGTGAGTCCCTGGGTATTTGTGCCAGCTTTGAATTTGGGGCCAAAGAAGCGGAAACTTTTGGGAACTTCTCTGATCCTCTGTTCAACCCATAAGTCCATATCACTTCGGGTAGGAGAGACAGCCAGTAAAGGACAAAGATCATTTCTAGAGTTGACATCCCAAGTTCTTTCCTGCTCTTCAGCCAAATGGCATTCCTTATGATTTCCTGACCGCTTGGGCTTTGCCTCCATACTTTGCTGAGAAATTTCCCCATTCACCTTTGGAAATATGAACTTCCCCAAGTTTGTACGCTTTCATGAGTCTTAGAAATATCTTGTTGCAAATACTCATTTTTTTTTTAAGGTCCAAAACACAGGGATTTTGCCAAATTGTGGCACATGCCTACAATCCCAGCACTTGGGAAGCTGAGGTAGGAGATTCGTCATGAGTTCAAGGCCAGCCTGAGCTACAAAGCATGATCCAATCTCACAAAAGCAAAATTCAATATAAGTAAACAAAGATCTTTTTTAAAAAATTTTATTTATTTATGTATTTATTTGTGTGTGTGTTTGGCCAGCTCAGCCCACTGGGGGCAGGGCTGACTGGCATGTGGTGCTGGAGGATTGAACCGCGGTCCCTGTGCTTTGCTAAGCTTGTTCTAAGTAGGTGCTTTAGACCACTGAGCCATCTCACCAGCCCCAAACAAGGATCTTAATGAGATTCAATTTCTTAAAATAAAGAAATGCTGGCAGCCATTTTAACTCATTCTCCCATGCTTCTTATCTTCCTTTTATTTGTGGGGTAAGTCTTTGTGTATTTTTACACAGGTTACTAAACATCCATGAGTTTCCTACCCATGTTCGCACCATTACTTCCTTCTCATTTACATTACTTTCTTCTTTCCACTAATTAAGTGGCAAGATCACTGAAAATGAAAGTTTTATACTCTTGCTTTTGTGGCATTGCTCCTAAATGAAAAGGCTATTCTCTTCCTCCTCTTCCCTTTCACCTTTTTTTTAAAAAATGTATTTGGTATAGGGTCTCACTAATGTAGCTCAGACTTCTAGTGATCCTCCTGTTTTCAGCCTCCCCAGCAGTGGGATTACAGGCATGTGCCACCACGCCCGGACTCAGTGGCCAGCTCAGTGCACCCCGGGGGTGAGGCTGGCACACATGTGCTACCAAGGATCAAGCCCTGGTCCCCAAGCTTGCCTAAGCAAGTGATAGTCTGCCGAACTATCTCACTGGCCCTCCCCTCATCTTTTATAGGTTTTAGTTATTTTAATTTAGGATTCCTTAACTTGCTTTGAGATATAAGAGCTACTGAGCAAATCCATATATTTATAAAACTAGTCCAGAAGCCAACTGACAAACAGGTTTGCAGTGCTAGCTCTGGACATTGAGCTGTGTATGGGCTTCAGGTTGTCAGATAAACTCTGGTTTAGGAAAGTGAAGGTGGGATCACAAGGTTAGAACTGGGAGGACAGATGCTGTGTAGTGTGTGTGCTCAGAACAGAGAATGTCAGAGCTTGTAGATGCTAGAGCAGGCGACCTTCCTGGTTCTCCACTTTTTTTCTCTGTCCTGTCACTGGACCTCATCATCAGACCTCATATAGCTACCTGACTTGTCAAGTACTTGGTATGACAAGTGACACAGAGCTTAACTCTTTAGGATAGCTACTAGGAAGGTTGAGTGACAGGATCGTTTCCAGAAAGATTGTGATGGAAGAGGATGTGTTAAGAAGTTATACTTTACGCTTAAGAATCTTAATTCTAGATGAACATGATTTTTTTAACCCTGTGTCTTGGATTATCAGAAATACTATCAGAAGCTAGAGAAGAAGGCAGATGAAGAACTACTTGGACAAAAGAACAGGGTTCAGTCTCCTAAATTGGTGACACCTTACATTCAGAAGGCAGAGACTTATGAATCAGGTATGACTGGGCTACTAGGGGTGGATGTCTGGGTAGATGGCAGATGGAAGGGGAGAGTAATGTGTTCCTCCTAACTCGTTCCACACAGTGGTTCGAATTGAGGGTTCCCTGGGCCAGGTAGCTGTATCTACATGTTTTAGTCCTCGTCGAGCTATCGACGCTGTGTCTCATGGAACTCAAGAGCAGGTAGGAACATTACCTTCCCAGGACATTTTTTCCTCTACCCTATCTCAAAAAAAGGTCTAGAGTACCTTCATGTTTGGGGTCAGATTGCAGCCTAAGAATGAGGAAGCAGCAAGACCAGACTTTCTGTCTAGACTTTCCAGCTCAGAACGTTTTGGTTTTTTGTTTTTTGAGAAAGGGTCTCCCTGTATATTTCAGGCTGCCCCTGAACTCACTATGTAGCCCAGGTTGGCCTCAAAGTTGTGGCAATCCTCCTGCCCTAGCCTCCTGAGTTCTGGGATTATAGGAATATGCTACCATGCATGGCTTCATCTCAATGTTTAACTAATGTGAAGCCTGGAGTGGTGTTGTGTTATTGTATGCTAGTGAGATAGGGTTTTACTATGTAGCTCAGGCTGGTGTTGAACTCACTATGTAGCCCAGGCCTTGAACTTGTGGTAATCCTCCTGTCTCAGCTTCCCAAGTGCTAGGATTACAGGTGTTGGAACCATGCCCTGTTCTATAGACTCTCTTCTCCTAGGATCCAGCAGCTGTAAGCAGTCAGAAGCTTTGGGTATTATGCAGGATTGAGAAGGTAAACTATTAATTTATTGGAAGACTTCCTGAATTACCTTTTAGAATGGGAGTATGCTCAAAACTGCCTCTTTTCTTTCTCCACCTTCCGATTCCTAGATGTTTCTTCAGTTACTAGAGATAGAGGAGGGCCAGAAGGATGGGATTCCACAATCCTGCTACTCTGAGCAGCAGAACAACCAGGTTGAAAAGCTGTTCCAAGCCTTAAAGACCGAGGAGAAGAACAAACTAGAGTGAGTGTGGGTGGATGGGGGGGGGTCCCAGGAAGGGAAGGACTAACCAAATCATTGGTCTTACTGCCCTCCCTCCTTCCTAGCATATAGCCTTCTCTCTGTCCTCCTTCCCTCTCCCTATACAGGGAATCAAATCGTGGTGTGCTCTAACACTGAGCTACATCCCAACCCTTTTCATTTTTTATTTTGAGATAGGGTCTCATTGGATTACCCAGGCTATGCTCAAACTTGTAATCCTCCTGCCTCCTTCTCCCAGAGTTCTGGGATTGCAGGAGTGTACCATGGTGCCTGGTTTATGGCCCTCTTTTGTGTTCTAAACTCTGAGAATGCTCTCTTCTCTCCCACTGTAGGGAGGCAGCGGATAGCTTCTTGCAGGTGCTCTCTGTGAAGAAAGGGAAGACCTTGGTGGCCCGCCTGCTGCCCTTTCTGTTGCCTGATCAGGCTGTTAGCCTTCTTCTGGTTATTACCCACCATCTGCCCCTCCTGGTCCGCAGGGATGTGACTGACCAGGTACCATGAAGTCAGCGTGGAAAAGGATGGTCTTCTGAGTGGGTTAGGGGGTCTTGCCTGCCTTCCATTCTCTACCCCTAGAATTGCCAGCGAAGTACCTGCCTGACAGGGAGGCGGGGGCAGCCTCACCATTCTCAAGGAAGTTAGTTACAGAACAAACTACTACACCAACAGTATAGATAGTCAAGTATGGGGCTGGAGAGATGGCTCAGTGGTCTAAAGCACCTACTTGGAACAAGCTTGGCAAAGCACAGGGACCACCGTTCAATCCCCCAGCACCACATGCCAGCCAGCCCCGCCCCCTGGTGGGCTGAGCTGGCCACACACACACACACACACACACACTAAATAAATGTAAAAAAAATAAATAAAAAATAAAAAAGATAGTCAAGTATGATAAGCAAAAGAAAATAGGTATATGGTTGCACAGATTTGTGCTGCAAAGGTTTGAGAGAAAATAAGCACCCCTATCTCCAGTGCTGAGCCTTTAGGGAAGGCATCCTAGAGCAAGTGGGTACTGAAGGACTCTGTATTAGAGATGGTAATCAGTGATAAGGCCCAGGAAGTAACCTTATTAGGAACAAGCTGTGAGGAGCTGATGAGCTGGAGATGGACCACACATTCAGGGCTAGAGTAAGGCAAGCCTGAAGAAGAGGGAGCTCCATAGGTGAGCCACGCAAACGAGTTGTTGGGACTAGAGCAAGGCCAGTCCAGCAGGAGTTTGGCCTTGGTAGTTTTCCTTGTTAACTACAGCACAGATAGCTTTGAGAATGTTTTGCTTTCACTGTTCTCAGCAAAACACTGAGACCTTGCACTTTTGACTACCTCGTGCACCTCCCCCTTTTTTTTTTTTTACAGTATATAAATAGAAGTGGACCATGCTGGGCCGTCACTGCCTCTCCACAGAGGTTAGGTCCCACCCAGTCCCAGCTTTCCTTTTAATGTGTGTCTACAGTTTTTTCTTAATTTCCCATTGTCCCCTCTCAAGACCCCGCTGGCTGCACAGGTTGTGGCAAAAAGCCAAAAACAGTTCCCAGAAATGGAAGGGGTTACAGGGAAGGCAGGAGAAAAGTGAAGTTACAGTGCACTTTGGGAGAAGAGCTTATTGACCTTTTCGCAGGCCCTACACATGTTGTTCAAGCCTCTGGGCAAATGTATCAGTCATTTGACCTTCCACGAACTCCTCCAAGGACTTCAGGGGCTAATGTTATTACCACCCGGCTCCTCCGAGCGCCCAGTCAGCGTGGTACTTCAGAACCAGGTAACAGATCTGGGGAGGCTTTTCTCTTTTCATGGATGGTTTCTGAGTCACTAGTAGGGAATAAGTCAGAGCAAGTTCTCACCTCTCCATAAATTTTATCTTCTGTAGCACTTCTGAACTTCTTGTGAGCATAAGATCACCTGGAGAGCTTACTAGACACCAGTTTCTTGGTTCCACACCCAAAAAGTCAATCAGGACACTCTCCACCCCCCCAATTCCTCCAGTACTGGGGACTGAAACTTGGCCTTTACACTGAGCTGTGCCCCCAGCTCTTATTTTTTTATATTGAAACAGGGTCTCACTAAGTTGCCCAAGGTGGGCTCAAACTTGTGATCCTCTTGCCTCAGCCCCTAAGGGTACTGGGATTGTAGGGATACACTACCATACCCAGCTATATCTGCTTTTGTAACAAAGTCTCTGCTGCTGCTGTAAGCCTCTATAGCAGAGGTCTCCAATTTTTGATGTGTGTGCTTTTAATAAGAAATTCTGAACCGGGGCTGGAGAGATAGCTCAGAGGCACAAGCATCTACCAGGCAAGTACAAGGACCTTAGTTTGATCCCCAGACCAGCATGCAGTGCCAGCCCCAGAACCAGATGTGGTGGTGCACACCTGTAATCCCAGCACACAGGAGGTTGAGACAGGAGGATTGCTATGAGATTGAGACTAGCCTGGGGGCTACATGAGTGAGTGCAAGGCCAGCCCAAACTTGCTATGCAGGGTCTGCATAGCAAGACTCTGTCTCAGGAAAAAAAAAAAAAACCTCTGAACCATACCACACATGTATTTATAAATGACATATAACACCATAATAGGTTACATAATAAATACAAGAAAGTTTAAACTGAGGTGACTCTAAATGTTCCAAAATTCAGATGTGTTACGTTGTGATGTTGTGAACCCACAATGGAAATCTTTGTCTACAGTGCTTCGTATAGTGGGGCTCACAGACTACCTACATCCAATTTCTGGACTCATACCTGATCTACACACTGATTCCTGGGTTGGAGCCCTGAAGGGTACATTTAATCAATTCTCAGGTCTGTGGAAACTTCAGAGCAGTGATTCCTCTAGAACAGTCATTTCTCTGGCTAGCCAATGTAAAACCTGAGAGCTCCTGTGGGTATTCTTCTCCATCTATAAATTTATCTGCCCTTTAGTTAGGAAGCAACCTCAGCTAGAAAAGTTCTAAATGCCTAAAGTGAACTCATTTTGTCCTGAACTATGTGTATCATTTGCAGTTTGGAATATCTTTGCTTTATGCCCTTCTAAGTCATGGGGAGCAGCTGGTGTCCCTGGATTCTTCCCTAAAGGAACCCAACAGGGACCACACAGCTTGGTAAGACTATGCATAAAGACCCTGTCAATAGTTTTTCAGTATCCCTGGGATGTAAGCCAGATAAGAGATATCCTGAGTGGCATTTCCATTATTAGGCACATGATTATGTGCAGAAAGAATAGCAGGGAGCAGGGTTGTACCTGGTTGGGTTTTTTTATTTTTATTTTTTATTTTTTTAATAGTACCCCAGAGTGTTGGTCTTCCATAGGAAGCAGTATAACCTTAATTAAACGGGTAAGTTTGAGAGTCACAGACCTATGTCTGAATTCTACTCGCCAACAATACAACCTTGGAGCAAGTTCTTAGTCTGTTTATCTAGTGATGAGTACAGATCCCGGAGAGTTATTAAGTAGAAAGGAAGATATGTAAAGTTTAAGCATTGTCTGGCACACATACCAAATGTACGATTATCTTTTGCTATCTGGGTTTTGCTGAATGTGATAATAGTGCTGGAAAGATAATACTGAACCTTAGCCCAAGTCTGTTTCCTTCATAAATACAAAAGCTCTGACTGTATTTCTTCTTCTCTGCCTTCCAGGACAGACATGGTAGTTCTGATTGCCTGGGAGATAGCTCGGATGCCTACAGCTGCTCTGGCAGAACCCTTAGACTTCCCCAACAACCTGCTTCCCCTGTTCTGTCACCACTTGGACAAACAATTGGTTCAACAGCTAGAGGCCAGGAGTAACTGATAGCAGAAAGGTCACAGCCAATTGTTCAAGCCCAATCTAGAATCTGCCATTCACTGTCCTAGTTCTTTAACAGCTTTCTCTGGCTTGAACCACTGGTAGAACACACGACTGTTTTACTTGGGCTGTTTGTACACTGGTGGTAGAACTAGGACAGGGATGCACGTACCACTGATGGCTCAAGCTTCTAGCAGTGAGATACATGACCTACAGTCCTATTTCAATGTGTTAAAACTAAGACTATGGAGCATAATGTCCTTTCAAAGTAGTTAAGACCCTCTGGAATTTATTAAGTAATCTGACCCAATTGTCAACCCTACAACCTTTTTCTTCAGCCAAACTTTTTCACTTTAAACCTTGTTTAGTCACACATAGTCATATTGAGGGTAAGAGTTGATTTGAAAAAATATTCAAGAATCTATAGTGGGGTGTGGTGGCACATACCTGTAATCCCAGCATGTGGGAGGCAGAGGCAAAAGGCTCACTGATGTCAGCCTGGATTACATACCAAAGCCCTGTTTTGAAAAGGCAAAAAATAAAAAGAATTTATTCAGTCAACCCTTTTCATTTTAAACCTTGTTTGGTCATTTATAGCCTGACTGAGGACAAGAGCTAATTTGATTCAATCAAAAATTATCTGAAGTACAAGTATTCCAGGGTATAAGCATGAAAGACATAGAGGTCAACTCGGTCCTCAAGTTTTACCATCTAGAAAGAGGTGTTGAATAACAAATATGTATAAAGTGGAACTGTTGTAGTTAACACCTATTCTCTGTATACTCATCTGATCTAGAGTCAGTTTCTTCTGGAAGATCTCTACCAATATGTAGGCTGTTTAATCCTGACATGAATTTTTATGAACTCTCTACTATAATCCAAATCTGAAAATATTTCTCATGCTTTGGGATTTTGGAAGACTTCCCCAAATATTTTCAGTTCCTTTCTTAAAATCTCAATGTTCCTAAAAATGAGGCACGGATTAATAAGACATGATTAAAAAGATAATCAAATAATGTGTTTAAATTTCTAAGTTTTGGGCCGGCCAAATAGCTCAGTGGATTAAAGCACCTGCAAGCAGGCACAGGGGCTGGGGGTCTGATCCCTGGCCCTGCTGTGCCCGCCCTGCCCCTAGGGCACACTGAGACAGCAATTGCGATTGGGCATGGTGGCCATGCCTGTAATCCTATCTCTTAGGAGGCTGTGAACAGGTGGATCACTACGAGTCCGATCTGGTAGTGAGACCCTGAATACCATGTAGAC